TATAGTCCACTTTTGTATTGAGCACAAGCGTCATTACTAACCAGAAATGAATTTACGTCTTTTTTACATCTTTTATAGTATTTGTCGTCTCTTTTTATTTTAATGTATATTCTAGATATTTTCTGTCAAGGTTTTTTTAAAACAGAAGTTTTATATTTTTTTTTAACTTTTGCACATTTAAAGCTGCCCTGGATTTTCCACACCATTCTTCTTACATCTGTTTTCCTTTCATAGCTTAAAAAAAGTGAAGACATGTCTAAAAGAATCAACATATGCAACCATAATGTGCCTCTAATGGACGTTGATGTCCTTTATCACTTTGGCTTGGCCTCGGATACATCGGACCTCAAGAGTCAATTCGGCGACGTGAAGGTAAGTGCTGACCTCGAGTAATTGCTTCTGTCTAGTTTGTCATCATGGGTGGCAGTCCAAAGCGAATGAAGAAAATCGCTGAGATCTTGCTCAAAGCCCTCGACATTAAGCTTCCTTGTGGCACGGGCTTGGCAAATATCGCTTTTGCCACGGACCGCTATGAGATGTACAAGGTTGGACCCATTCTATCTGTCTCGGTGAGTCATCTACCATTGATGGCGCGTTATTTTTTATGCATAATCTGTTATCTTGGTTGGTGATCCACCTGTCTCTTGAAATTTTTCTAATTCAAGCCAGTAATTTCCAAAATTTTATTTGGTACAAACTTTCGAATTTGATTGATTTGAACATTGTAAAATGAACACCTGACCCCCCATTATAGTGTATATCGCTTAATATATACCATCATTTTTGCAAATATTTAGCATGGTATGGGTATTCCATCAATATCCATTCTCCTCCATGAAATGGCGAAGTTACTCTATCATGCTGAATGCAGCGATGTCCGTTTTATACGTCTCGGAACCTGTGGTGGAATCGGTGAGTTTTGCAAATTTTTTTAAGCAATGCACACTCTTGAAGCTGGATTAAACTAACTTATAGCTGTACGGGATCTAACTAATAATTACGTAGTAGTTTATCAAGCCCAAAATAATCCCACTATTTAGATCTGAGTGGGTTGATATTTTTTCTGCCTACAAATAACTAATTTTGCTGGGATTCGTGGACTTAATAACACACACACAACTGGAATAGTTTTAGCATGTCGATTTGCACTAAAGTACATCAGACCGGTGAGAGACACTGAAATTCCACATAAATATGCACCATCTGCCACACCCTAATACACCCACTTCAAGGCATGTGCACCTTCTAGCATCACTGACAAATATTTGGAACGTCATCTCTTTGCACTGCTGTTGATTACCACAATCTAACCAACTAACCCGCACATGTTTTCGTGACAAAACAGGTCTCGATCCTGGATCCGTTGTCATAACAACGAGTTGCATGGACTGCGCCTTCAACGACTACTTCCAATTGGTTGGTTTAAGTCGTATTTCTTTGCCTTTTTGATCAGTTGTTGTGTTAATAATCTTTGGAGATGCTTTGCATAAGCTTTTAACGGGATGAGAAACGCTAAAAGGAGGACGCGCTTCCTGCCTCAGTTTTACAGCCAGAAGGTGATTGGTCAGTTGTGATTATTTACGTCAGCGTTGTAAGCTAGACTGACTTAGGCGACTCAACAGAACACAATTTCTGCACCATCAAACTGTTACTTGAATGAGAATTTTTGTTGTGGCAACTAATTTGTATTTTTTGTCTCCTCTGTCAACAGAATATCATGGGAAAGACTGTGAAACGCCCCGCTCAGTTAGACGAGGAAATGGTGAAGGAGTTGATTGCAACGGCGCAATCTATGAATCTCAAATTTGATGTTGTTGCCGGCAAGACCATGTGTGGCAATGACTTCTACGAAGGTAATCAATCCGTTTTGTCAAAAATTTATACACTAGCCTCTCTGGCATGCAATTCAAATTCGACGCCTTAAGCACTAGACGTTAGATGTTTCGTTCTTATTGGCCCCCCTTTGTCATGTGTTATCGCGCATAAATCGCGTAGAGAATCACCCTAAGCACAGAAAAGTAGCCAAATTACGCATCCTGGAATATTTTGCTGGCATTTACGGATTGTGCGGTTATATCAATGTTAACGTCAATTCCACTTGGCGTGCAATGTGGTTGTAAATTCCAAAGACCATGCGGAGAGACCTGAGTTAATTAGCTCAACGAAGCAACGATTACGTTGATATTCACAGGAGGACATGGGTGTGGCTAACCAGCGATTAATAGTTGCCGATTTATGTGGTAGTTTTGGCACCGCAAAAATGACTTTTTGGATGATATAAGAAAAGAGATCTCGCTGAAAATAGGGCGTTCGCTCTCATCACCAACACTTGTCATACGGTTAACACTTGCGACTTGAAAATTTCACCATATGCTGGTATTTTTTCACCAAAACATTTCTAATTCTGCTGAACATAACGCACGAACGCAGGTTTACTTTTAAAAATTCCAAACTTTACTCTGGTTTGCGAAATCTTGAATTTATGTGTAATTCAGCAGTTCAGTTAGCATGTATTGAGAAAATGTGGACATTTACGCAGTTTAAAAACGAAAAAAAGTGCAAATCTGGGTAACTTTTGGCAGTAACACAACATGTGTTTATTGTGGGCATTAACAAATAACCAACCGACCGGCCCTGAGGTAATTATCACGGC